GACCTTGTCAAACAGTGTCAAGTTTGCAAGGAAGAGAAATATGACAGACATCCGAATAATCCAAAATTAAAAGAAACCCCAATACCTGAATACCCAGGACAAATAGTACACATCGATATATACACAACACAAAAGAACTTAGTATTGACAGCAATAGACAAATTTTCAAAACTCGCTCAAGGAAGAGTAATCAAATCCAGAGCAATAGAGGACGTAAAAAAACCACTTCACGACATACTCTTTTACTATGGCGTACCAAAAGCAATAGTCATCGATAATGAGAAGTCCCTAAACTCAGATTCACTAACCTTTATGATGAAAGACCAACTCGGAATTGAAATTTATAAAACCCCACCACATAAGAGTACAGTCAATGGGCAAGTGGAAAAATTCCACTCGACACTATCAGAGATTATGAGATGTAATAGACGAAAAAACGAATACAAAACTTTCGACGAACTTCTGAACAAATCAATATACGATTATAACTACACTATACACTCAACAACCAACAAACGACCACTCGACATATTTTTTGGCAGAAACGTGACGACAGACCCAGAACAGTATGAAAAAGCTAGGAAAGATAATATAGACAGACTTAAACAAAAACAGACGACAGACATTCACAACCATAACAAGACGCGAAACGATATACGAACTTACACACCTGGACAAGAAATCTACATTAAAATAAATACACGATTAGGTACTAAACTTTCACCTAGATATAAAAAGGCAATAGTAAAAGAAGACAGAAACACGACTGTACTAACATCAACAAATCTCATCGTACACAAAAGTAACATAAAAAACGTTTGACAAATTATAGATTACTTGTAATACTGATGGTGACGGTACAACCAATAGAACCAAATATGGACATAACAAATCACACAGAAGCACAAACTATTACGATCCACGATGGACTAGGCAAAATACAAACAACAACAACAAGAATAATTCATATTTTCAATCTAAACAAAATCAAAGAAGCATTAGAGCAAATAGAGTTCCATACAGAAAAAGATTTAAAATTTAGCAGCTTATACCATACCTTGTGCCACGAAATTAACCAAACTCAATTGACTTTACGTACCATAGACTATAACGTTAACAAAAGGACCTCAAGGGCTATTAATATCCTAGGCACAGCTTGGAAGAATGTAGCAGGCAGCCCAGATCACGATGACTTCGTTCAAATAGAGGAACATATTAATAAAGTAATAGACAACAATAATAGGCAGGTAATAATAAATTCACAACTAGAACAGAGACTAAATAAATTAACTACAATCACCAATAGCCTTACAAACAACATAAGGAAAGACGATAGATTCACATATGAAATAGCAGAAAGTTTACAAAACCAAGTTAGATTGATCAAAGAGGAAGTCATTAATATAAAATATGCTATACAATGGGCAAAAGTTAACGTAATAAACTCATATCTATTAAAAGAAGCAGAAGTTAATGAAATAGAGAGGATATTCAAAGCTGGCAGAATGCCTTCATTATCCGTAGAAGAAATGCTAGAATATTCAGACGTGGCCATATTTCACAATACGACTACTTTGTTTTATGTGATAAAAATACCTAACGTAGAAGAAACAGAATTCGAAAACCTAATAGTAAAACCAGTAATAAGAAATAATGTCATTATAAATATAGAATACAAAGAAATATTGTCGCACAAAAATGTAATGTATGGAATTATTAAAAGCTGTAAGAAATATAATAAAATTAAGATTTGTTCTAAAAATAACATTGTCAACATTAGCAATAGTACATGTTTGCCTAGGCTCCTCAATGGAGAAAAGTCGCTGTGTGAGTTCAGTAATGCTGAGCATGTGGAACCCATCGACGAATTGGCCAATGGTCTTCTGATGCTTAACAACTTTAATGGGATGGTGACATCGGACAAAAAAAGTACATGGTTAAATGGCACTTACGTAATTCGCTTCACCAACGAGTCCATTTCGATTGGCAACCGGACTTTCAGCAATCTAGAGACAAACACGCTGAGAGTCGGATCATCAATAATCCAGATGACACCGGAAGAATCGAGACGACTCCAAATTCTATCGCTAAAGGCTTTGCAGGCACTACACCTCAACAATAGCCAAATACTGGAAAAACTAAAACTTACGACACACGCAGTATCATCTGTAATATTGATCTGCATTGTAGCGATAACCATCGTCATTGCCTACCTCTACACAAAGAGAGCTAGAAAAATAACGTTACTATTGGACAATAACCAAGTAAATAAAGTAACAGAGGCACCAAGACGAACAATAGAGAACATACAGTTCAATGACATTCCCTTCTTTTAAGAATCGCTTGAGGACAAGCTCGAATTAAAGGGGGAAGAGTTAATAACGAAAATAATTCCACATTGCAACAAAATCCAATGGGAATTATTGCAACACAAATAAGACATAACAAACTCCATAAGCCAAATCTGCTGACACCACGTCTAGTGGACTTCCTGCACGCGCCAACCAGAGCTGCAGTGGACTTCCTGCACACGCCAACCAGAGCTGCAGCAATTCTAAGAAGAATTGCGCAACGGGCCAACAACACCACGAGCGACGCCGCTGCCAGCGCCGTTGACTGAACCACAGCTTAGCTAGGGATAGAATTGATTTAAGTTGTTAGTTGCCAAATTCAATTTGAATAAAACGGACTTGTTTCGTCCAAATCAAATAAAATCTTTTTTTTATCATTCGAAGAAAAGAAGAATTTAACTTACATACTCGTGTATGCATGCCCACATATATACATATACAATGTAGCTGTGATAAAAACTAAAGCGAGAGCCGATAAGTTGACGTCGATACGTTATTTGGTTTTGTAACGCGTGCAAAATATTGGTGCCGCAACCATACGTAAATACTTATAAACAGTTTGCAAATGTTAAGGCGGTGTGCACAGTTATCTTTTGAATATCAGCAGCAAATTCTGCACGCCACGCTCAAAATTCCTGCGCTCTTCTTTTTTGACTAGGGTGGGAGGCGCACGGCGCGCCTGATTTATGAACATACACATATACATCGATATATATATATATATATATATATATATATATATATATATATATATATATATATATGTATATATATATGTGTGTATATATATAAATATGTGTATATATGTATTTAATTATATTGTTAATGACATCGCTACACGTTAAGACACACATACGCAACGCAATATTGGGATAACATTCATATGCCAATTTACACTTCTGCAGCTAACACGTGCACTTGTCTAAATGTGTCAATTGCTTATATTTCAAGCGTCGCATTACCAGTTTTTTTATTTATTTATTTATTTTATTCTGCTTCCGAAACTGAACGACAAGGCACTCTATACTTCTGACTTTATTAAAATTTTCAAGACGACTGACGGCGCTGACCAAGAGTGGCGAAGCCGAAAATACTATGAAGCGCTTTTAGCTATGTGACCAAACATAAGCATATTATTTAAATACCACACTGTTAATTGATATATCGATATATGCTGTAAGCACTCCTGCCTAATGATGACGAGAGCCGCCAATTCGTTACCTATCGTAACGGCTAACACTATAAAATCAGATGCAGCTGAGTTGGGTTGTAACAGAGGGAACGTCATGACTTTCGCTTCGCATTTGCAGTCTGTCCTGGAAGAGCTCCAGATCAAAGACTGTGATCGTAAAATATATACGTCACATGCCCAAAGTATCTGCAACAATCTAGTATCTAAACAATCTAATAAGGCCTTCAAGATGAAGTTTAATGGACTGGTAAACATAATTGAATGATCTAATGGTCTGATTGAATGAATCAGGTAATTGCCACTTTATGGTATGTGTACCACAGTGGGAACGTGAAATGATGAACAGAATTTGAAGGACGTGCTGCGTCTGATGAAAGCACTGCGCGACGTTCACAAAGGTGAGCTGCCACATCTGAGCAGCTATATGTTAAAAACCGTCATTCTACTAGAACTCCCCATTGTATCTGGTCACTTGTGGCAACAGGATACGGGAATGATCCTAATTTACATGTGGACCTAATTGTTGCAACATTTGCGTAAAGGTAATCTACTATATTTCAATAATTTTGATCGCATGAAAACTAGAGGTTTGAGTACATGCAGATCAAAAACCAAACTCACTTTAGTGGCTAACGGTCCTAGTTTCGTTCGTACTGTACGTGCTTTATTTCTTGATTATCATATTATTATTAAAGCTGAAATATATACTTTAAGAAAATAATTAACAATTACTTGATTTTTTTACATGATATATGCTTGAAAACTTAAATCATGATGTAATTTCAACTGTTAAGTGACAAATTTATACGCTAAAACATTGAAACAAATTTGAAGGCTTGCAAATAAATGACGTGATTCGCTTTCATTGCAGCGAAGTCACTGCGAATTCACGTTTATGCGCTTGTGACAAAACGTGACTCGCTGGTTGAACAGCAGCGAGTAATCAGTGCGGGAAATTCAAATTTGAATTCATAGAGCACAACGTATTCTTGCTTTCGCTCCGAGTTGTGAATCTACCTATTTTATGCTTATATTGCGTTTATCCCTTTTATTACAATATTAGTGGATTTTAAATTGATAGAAAAGATTTCCATTCAGCTTTTGATTTGTCTCCCGATCTTATAGAGCGTACAAATATAAACTTTCTTTTATACTTAAGCACTATAAACTTTATTAAAATATATTTATATAAATTGCTTGCGCTTATAAATAAAATTTTATGCTTGGAGTTAAAACAACATGTATTTAGGTATTATGCATGTATGCTTATGTTCTACGACAAATAAATATATGTACCTTTGAATATACATATGTATATTTATATATGTATGTATAATTTGCAGATATTTCTCATTTAAACGCATACGCATGCATTCCTAAAAAACTATAACAAATTGAGCAAAAATTTGTATTGCAAATTGCATGAAAAGCGAAAACATTTGAAGTACACAATTAAGCGTACAATTTATCTTTAGGTTATAAACTAGCTTTGATTGAGACAGTGAAAAGGAATAGAGAGAAAGAGAGGAAGAACGAGGGGAGAGTGAGAGTTGGATTTGGGGCAGCAATTGTGTAGCATACCGCCGAAAATGCATTCATGCAACTCGTCGCCGTGGCCTAGCTCTCCCAGACCTCGTCGCGCTGTTTGGCAGCTAAAAGTTTCCGTTCTAAAAGAAAGAAATGGATTGGATTTAAAACAACTATTAGTGATATGGATAAAACACTTACCTTTGGCTTCGCGTAGGACACGCCTTTCGTTCTCCCTTTCCTCCGGTGCTGTAGGCAGCTTAACACCAAGAGCACCGGACACCAGACGACGCGCCAACGCCGTACAAGTCTCTGGTCGTTGTCGATAAGGCTGAAGCGAAGTGGCGCCCGCCTTCTTCGCCTTGAGACGCGACTCCAATGTGGCCTCGGCCAGTGGTTTTAACTTAACAAATGGATGACCCATGGTCAAGACTTCAGCAGCTGCCAAATGAATAAAAATCACAATTATATTTTGCCTTAGATAAGCAACGCTCACGCCTTCTACTACACACCAATGCGGGAGCTGCTAAAAACGGCCAGAGCATGTGTATCATCCACCCATTTAATGTCAAAGCCGGCACTTTTGTATTGCGAGAAGAGCATTAGCAAATCCGGTGTCTTGAATTCCACAGGGAAATTCGAGATCTCCAGCACATGCGGAAACTCCTCCTCATTGAGCAGCGATTGCTTAATGTGATAAAGCTGAAGTAATAGAAAATAAATAGAATATTAATTGCAACATTTACGCAACTACATTTACTCACGCTATAATCCATTTTGGGCAATTCAATTTTGCATTTGCCTACCGATTCGGTGAGCTCCTGCAGAATCTTTGGATTCAGACAGTCACCGTTCTCGTCAAACATATTCTCCCAGTCATCTTCATTTTCCTCATCGTCATCCTCGGTGGTGCTATCGGCAGGTGGCGTAAGCGATGCAGCGGATGCTGCTGTTGCTACTGCGGTGGCAGCAACATTGGTTGTCTTGGGCGCTGATTCAATCTTTTCGGGTATCTCAAGCACATCCGATACAAAAGTTTGTTTCATGATGCGACGGTTGCTGCGATTGATTTCCTATAAGCATAGACAGAAAAATGAATGAAATACTTCCCCTTAAATGTAATTTAACGCATTTACCTTGGAGGCTCGCTGCAATTCGCGCACTTCGTTATCACATTTGTTCGCATCCTCAGTCGTTGGCGCATTGCTGTTGGCTCTTGGCAGCGCAGCATCTTCGATGCGCAACGATTGCTGCTGTTGCTGTTTGTGGGTTTTGCTCGTCTTTGTTCGCATGGTCTGAAAATTTAGTGGAATTGTTTTAGTTTGAGTTTGGCTAACAAAGTTAGAGTATAATTACCTCCTTATCACAGTTATCTGATGGTAGTCCTGACGTTGGTATCTGTTTGGCTTGGTTTTCGCTAGGCGCAATCACAAGCAACGTATCTGGCTCAATCGTTTTGCCAACTGTTTTCTTTCCGCGATCTCTGCGAGATCTTGATTTCTTTGTTTTCGCTTGCTGATGCTGCTGCTGCTGCTGCTGTTGACCGTTGCCGTCGTCTGATTTCGACGGGTTTGCATTCACAACTGGCATGCCTAATGGCTGTGGCTGTAGCTGTGGAGTGCACGTAGTCGGTGCTGTTGCTGCTGCTCCGGTTGGCGTTGGCGTCGGCATTGCCGCTGCTGCTGTTGTTGTTGTTGTTGTTGTTGGAGGCGTTGTTTGACTGCGTCGTGCCCTTGGCACATAAACCGCTCGATCGGGACGTCGTTCACGACGCGTTGCTGCTGCTGCTTCGGCCGCGGCGGCGCTTGCTTGCTCTCTGCGAAGCAGTTGATCAAAACAAAGCAGCAAAAAATAATGAAAGGTATCCGATTAACACACACGCACACACAAAAGACAGAAGAATTTCGTAAAAAAAACAGTTGTTGAGTGCAAGCACCTTACAAAGAATTGCAAAACTATAATGCAATAACAATAAAAACGAATTTTTTATCAAATACAAACGCTTTCAAAGCACTGCGTTCAATTATGATTATAAAACTGGTGTATTTTAACTAAACAAAAAAAGGTTGCTGGGTTTTAATCTATTTGCTTTGCGTACCTGCCTGGAGACCTTTTGCGTGCGACTGAGGTAGTTGTCGAGATTATTTCTGTTGTTGTTGTAGTTTGTGGTGCTGCGGCAGTCTCTGGCACCGTTTCGTTCGTTGCAGCTACTGCTGTTGCTTCCTCACTGCTGTTGTGCCTGAGTGCGGGCGGCCTGTAGAGATCCACAGAGTTCGATTTACTTACTGCAAAAGAAAACCAAAACAAAAAGAGCAAAAAGAAAGGAATTAGCAAACTTTAATCATTTCATCAGGTGAAGCAACGCATTTGGCAAAATGTATACATATATATATATATATACATACACAAATATACAAAATTCACTAATGTTGACCCAATTTTACGTTCGTTCGCTTTGGGCACTGCTTCGTGAATGTCAACATGTCTCGCTCAAACAGGGCGCGATAAGGCTGAAGCGAAGTGGCGAGCGAGACGTGCCAAGAGGGGAGGGGAAGAGCGAGTTAGCTGAGAGCTGAGTGTATCAACTTGAAAGCAGCTCGCGAAAGAGGGGACTGAAAAGCTGCGTGACCCACAAACAAAACGAACTGGCGCCCGTACGTTCGCCATGCGGAAACTCCTCCTCATTGAGCAGCGATTGCTTAATGTGATAAAGCTGAAGTAATAGAAAATAAATAGAATATTAATTGCAACATTTACGCAACTACATTTACTCACGCTATAATCCATTTTGGGCAATTCAATTTTGCATTTGCCTACCGATTCGGTGAGCTCCTGCAGAATCTTTGGATTCAGACAGTCACCGTTCTCGTCAAACATATTCTCCCAGTCATCTTCATTTTCCTCATCGTCATCCTCGGTGGTGCTATCGGCAGGTGGCGTAAGCGATGCAGCGGATGCTGCTGTTGCTACTGCGGTGGCAGCAACATTGGTTGTCTTGGGCGCTGATTCAATCTTTTCGGGTATCTCAAGCACATCCGATACAAAAGTTTGTTTCATGATGCGACGGTTGCTGCGATTGATTTCCTATAAGCATAGACAGAAAAATGAATGAAATACTTCCCCTTAAATGTAATTTAACGCATTTACCTTGGAGGCTCGCTGCAATTCGCGCACTTCGTTATCACATTTGTTCGCATCCTCAGTCGTTGGCGCATTGCTGTTGGCTCTTGGCAGCGCAGCATCTTCGATGCGCAACGATTGCTGCTGTTGCTGTTTGTGGGTTTTGCTCGTCTTTGTTCGCATGGTCTGAAAATTTAGTGGAATTGTTTTAGTTTGAGTTTGGCTAACAAAGTTAGAGTATAATTACCTCCTTATCACAGTTATCTGATGGTAGTCCTGACGTTGGTATCTGTTTGGCTTGGTTTTCGCTAGGCGCAATCACAAGCAACGTATCTGGCTCAATCGTTTTGCCAACTGTTTTCTTTCCGCGATCTCTGCGAGATCTTGATTTCTTTGTTTTCGCTTGCTGATGCTGCTGCTGCTGCTGCTGTTGACCGTTGCCGTCGTCTGATTTCGACGGGTTTGCATTCACAACTGGCATGCCTAATGGCTGTGGCTGTAGCTGTGGAGTGCACGTAGTCGGTGCTGTTGCTGCTGCTCCGGTTGGCGTTGGCGTCGGCATTGCCGCTGCTGCTGTTGTTGTTGTTGTTGTTGTTGGAGGCGTTGTTTGACTGCGTCGTGCCCTTGGCACATAAACCGCTCGATCGGGACGTCGTTCACGACGCGTTGCTGCTGCTGCTTCGGCCGCGGCGGCGCTTGCTTGCTCTCTGCGAAGCAGTTGATCAAAACAAAGCAGCAAAAAATAATGAAAGGTATCCGATTAACACACACGCACACACAAAAGACAGAAGAATTTCGTAAAAAAAACAGTTGTTGAGTGCAAGCACCTTACAAAGAATTGCAAAACTATAATGCAATAACAATAAAAACGAATTTTTTATCAAATACAAACGCTTTCAAAGCACTGCGTTCAATTATGATTATAAAACTGGTGTATTTTAACTAAACAAAAAAAGGTTGCTGGGTTTTAATCTATTTGCTTTGCGTACCTGCCTGGAGACCTTTTGCGTGCGACTGAGGTAGTTGTCGAGATTATTTCTGTTGTTGTTGTAGTTTGTGGTGCTGCGGCAGTCTCTGGCACCGTTTCGTTCGTTGCAGCTACTGCTGTTGCTTCCTCACTGCTGTTGTGCCTGAGTGCGGGCGGCCTGTAGAGATCCACAGAGTTCGATTTACTTACTGCAAAAGAAAACCAAAACAAAAAGAGCAAAAAGAAAGGAATTAGCAAACTTTAATCATTTCATCAGGTGAAGCAACGCATTTGGCAAAATGTATACATATATATATATATATACATACACAAATATACAAAATTCACTAATGTTGACCCAATTTTACGTTCGTTCGCTTTGGGCACTGCTTCGTGAATGTCAACATGTCTCGCTCAAACAGGGCGCAACAAGTGAGCGAGTGAGCGAGCGAGATACGTGCCAGAGAGGGAGAGGGAGAGAGAGCGAGTTAGCTGAGAGCTGAGTGTGATGCAACTTGAAAGGCAGCTCGCGAAAGAGGGCGACCTTGAATAAGCTGCGTGACCCGAACAAACAAAACGAACTGGCGCCCGTACGTTCGCCGGCGTGTTTGGCTTTATTTTTAGTCGTTTACACACGCACACACACAAACGTAAATAATTAATTGGAATTCGTTTTATTTTATTTTTGTTCGGTTTTCTTTGTTTTTGGTTTGTCTATTTGCAAAATATTTTTAAGCTTGCCAATTGTGCCAACTTCCATTGCATACATAAAACACGCATGCACACACATGCATAGATGTAATACATACACATTTATGTATGGTATTTCCTCAATATTTGTTAAATTCAATTTTAAAGACTGAGTATAATTAAATATTTTACAGCACTCATTAAATATCGATTAACATAACTTTAATGAGCACACCAAGCAAGCGTTATTATTTTTATCGTAATACTTACAAGGTGTTTCGCTGATATGCTTCTTAACGCCCATTTTACACAGTTCCGTTACGCGTTTTCTGCTTGCGCTGCTGCTTCTACCGTTGCTTCGCCAGCTCTTCACTGGCTGTTGTTGCTGATGCTGCTGTTGTTGTTGTTGTTGCTGCTGCTGTTCGTGTTTACGGCTGTCAGAACAATATTAAGAACTTGTTAAATAGTTGTATTAGTATATATGTAAGTGCACTACTTACGATTCAAATCCGTGCGGATCGATAAGCTGATTACGAAAACAGACAACCGTGCGTCGATGAGGGCCTTGACCCACGGAAAACGTTAAAAGATCGTATTGCTGTCGATAGTTCTCACATGTTTGATGTATGAGATAACGGCGATAATTGTTCACAGGTGGAAAGAGCAGCACACTACAAAAGAAAGAGGCCAAAGCGAGTTAGCGCTTTGTGTGTGTGTGCGTGCGTGTCTCTCTTTCGTTCACTCTGTCCCTCTCTCTATATTTTGTTTCTTTACAGCTAACAGGTTGTCGCCAACTAGAGAGAAGAGACGGGCAATAAGAAGCACGCAAAGCCCGACTTGTAAATAACTTCTTATGCAACAGAAACAATAGCGCAATGTAACAATTAACATACATACAATAACAATAATAATAATGAAAATATTACACGAACAAACTGCTGATGGTGCGAGTCGAAGTTGTTTATTGCATTGCAATTAATTGTTTATTAAACGCGTCTTGCATTTTAAACGCCACAAAAACCGTGTTACCAGCTCTAAACACAAACGATGCAATGCGGAAAGCAATGTTGCATGTTACACTATTATTGTTGTTGTTATTGCAGCTGCTGCTGTTGCTGTTGTGGGGCAGCTGGGAAAACTCGAAATTGTGGCATTTGCAAACCGGTAATATCGCATCGAGGCCCCACTGTGAATTTGATGTTGTTTTTGCCAGTTTCCGCGTTGTTACGGACACAAATAAACAAGAAAAGTGAGAGAGAGAAGCGTGGCACGAAATGAGTAGGGACGCCAGGAATCTAGTGCCACAACTAGGATTTGTTTTTATTGTTGTTGTTTTTCCCACCAGCTGCTGCTGCTGCTGCTTACGACCGAAGCCTTTTTATGCCACAGACACATTTGCACGCACACAGGTTCACATACTCACACACTCACTCAAATCTACACATTATATATATCCACGCACACACATATATTCGTGTGCTTCAGAAGTTCTAAGAGCTCTTACCCACTGCTCAAACGCTTTTTTAAAAACAATTCAATATCGACTCCAACATTATAAACGAATTCCTGATCGATCAAGCTTAAATTAGCTGTGAACGTGTTTTTCCGTTCGCCGTTCTCCAGCTTTTTATTAAATATGCGACAATGTCGCCACACATAAATACAGTTTAGAACTTTTTTCACGTTTCACGAAGTCAGTGTGTACACATCAACTGATTTGACAAATTTCTATTATCGATATTTGACGTTCTGTACGATAGGATTAACGCGATGTTATAAAATATCGATAGTTTATTATTATGAAAATAATAGGTAATGGTTGATGATTGTAGTAAGTATATTTATTAAGTAAGTATATTTATTGTAGTAAGTATTTAGTATAGTGGCGAGCTATATATTAGTCGTGCGCTCATGTGTATATAAAAACTAGGTTATGCCACTGAAAATAACTCCAATGAATAAATTTTATATGCATAGCTAACAATGTTCCATTAAATGTAGTACATCTGTACTTTGCATGTTTACAAAAAAATGTAAACAAAAATCAGCTGTTCTGGATTTGATTCCATTGAACCAGTATCGAACCTAATCATAAAAACAAACCATTACAACAAATCGACAAAATCATCGATAGTAATGCAATCGCATAGCAAAAATAATTTTGGAAAGTGCAAATTGCGAACAACGGTAATACGCAAAGTTGTTTTGTTTGTGTTAACAATTTTTACTATACATTCAAACGAATAAGTGTTCAATTTATATCTTGGTCTAAATCGCAAGTGTTTAAAATTTGAAAAATAAAATCACCTGAACAAGGTTACAATCAACGAATGCGTCTTAGAGAAGAGTGTGGGGGTGAAAAGCAGACAACGACAACTGTGCCATTGGCATAGAATTTTTGCATATACATACATACAAGGCATCCAAAAGGGTCACACTTACACATGCACATACACACACACATACAAATAGTGTCTCATTTTGACGATTAACAATAATATAATTGCAGACAAAACTGATACAGGGCCAGGGACGTTGACGTCGTCGCCATCGTCGTGATAATTGGAAAGTGGCAAAAAAACAACAACATCAAAAAACGAGCGCACAACGGTAATAGTACCCAATACACACATACACAGACGAACATATGTGTATACACAGGCACGCACACATGGAGGCGTTTGTTTGATGTACAATTTAGAGCAATCGAGCAACGAACAAAAGACAGACAAACAAATTATGACGGCGCGTGAAAATGTTGCCAGCCGTTTGTCCAAATTGATGCTCAGCAATAGCAACAGCAACAGCAATGGCAGCAGCAATAGCAACAACGGCAGCTCAGCAGCCACGACGGCAGCAACTATGTCCATGGTGCAATCACCGACGTCGCCTGGCGAGCAATCCGAGTTGAATCAATTGAAACGCGATGCGGATCCGCAGTTCTCACGCTTTGCAGATTACTTTGTGATATGTGGCTTGGATTTGGATACGGGCCTGGAGCCCGATCGCTTTGCAGGTAGACCACATCAACAAGTAGTTAGAAAGTTGTCAATATATTAACTCGAGTTTCTCTTTATATTTTTTAGGTGATAATTTGCACTGTTCGCCGCTGGATCGCGCCTACAAGAGCAAACCATTAGCCCATTATCCCGAAAATGTAGCCTGGAATCCATTTGATGCACACGGCATATGCATGGTAGGTGCAGCCACCGAAGCTATATGGGCGAGGTCTTCAATTAAGTTCAATTGCGTGCATGATGATGCAAGCAAGTCTAGCCCTCCAATCGGGCACAGTCCAAGTGCCCTGAACACATAAATATGAAATTCATGCTTCACTGACTTGGTGCTCATTGATGATGATATGACTGCGAGCTGCTTTTAATTGATGCCACATCAACAGCGACGACTGCGCTGTCGATAAGCAAACAGCCACGCGTAGCTTATCATACAAAAAAATCTTGACATGTATATAGTTTGAGTATCTTAAGTGCCCAGCAATGTATATATACATTTATTTATATATAATAGGCATATTTATATATATATTGGGCATCTGTTTCTGAAACGTTTTACAGTGATTGCATTTTATGAAGCGAACAAATGATTTTCTTATGTAGAGCTTAACGACAGCCGATAATTGAAGATTTATAGATACATTAGCAAATGCATTCTGTTATGAAATGACTTATAAGTAGATCTGATTGTTTTGTATGAATACTTATCTATTTTGCTTTCCTCTTTCAGTTGTCGCTGCCGCAGGGATTGCGCTTTCGCACTCAGAAACACAACATTGAGCCAAAGTTCCATTCGTTTGCCACAACGCGAGAGGATGGCAAACGTTGTTATGGTTTCAGCTTGGTCTTCTACGAGGAGATACGCAATCGCAATATTTGCGGCGCCATCCATACGCTTCAGTCCATGTTTATAACGGAGCTATCGAATGGGCAGCAAACGCATTCACTGAGCCGTATCAAACAGGATGGACCGGTCAGTCGTTCGCTGCCGCGACACTTCAAAGTAGCCGGCCAGGCGCCGCAGTCCGCACAAAGCTATTATGACATTAGCAAGGACAAACTATATGTGGCCAAAAGTATCTCATTGATTTGTCAAGCTCCCTATGCATTTGCCGCTGAGCTGTTCCTCAAGAATCTGTACCGGTAAAATGGGGGTTTTACTTTAAACCTAATCTATCTAAAGTCTTATCTTTAATTTTGTAGTTAAATATTCTTCACGCTTAAAGTATTTACACTATTTTTTACTATATGTCAGCTTGCAGTGATATTTAATATTCTATGATTTATACCAGACATAACATTTACTATCTAATCGTTGCTCGGTCATATATATAAATTATTAACAGACTTTTTATATAAATTAATTCAATATATATTGTTTATATTATCAGTTAAGATAAGATTCGATTTGTGCACAGCTGTAAATGTAATTATAAATTTACTTTTGCAGTTGTCTTCCACGACAGCCAGGCGCTGGCATTAGCCTGGAGTCGTATGTGTATAACATACTCTATGAAGTGATGCTGCCTCAGCCGGGCAAATCGATACGTGTCTATTTGCCACCTATGGAGCCACATCTGCCAGCTATTGCATTGATCCTGCAGCGTCCTGCACTGGCCACTGAGCTGCCGCTGCTGGACTTTCCGCTGCGTTTGCTCTTTAGTTATCTGGGTGTGGAATGCGTCATTCAGCTGTTGACCTGTGTGCTGCTAGAGAGCCAGGTGCTGCTGCGTTCCACAGGTGAGAAGCTCAACAACGACTCGTTTAATCTCTTTCATAAATAACACATCTATTCCTTTGGCAGACTACCAAAGACTCATGATTGTGGGCGAGAGCATAACATCGCTGCTTTTTCCGTTCATTTGGCCGCATGTCTATGCGCCTATTCTGCCTGCTGCACTGCATCATTTTCTGGACGCGCCTGTGCCGTTTGTGATGGGTCTGCATGCTGGATGCGAGGCGGCGCATAAAATTGGCAGCGAAGCAGCTTTGTGCTTTGTGGACATCGACAAGAAGCACATACAGCTGCCCGAAGAGCTGCCCGTGTTTCCGCACAAGATGGACTTTATGGCCGAAATTATCTCGGTGCTGGACAAGTTTGAAATAGAGCGCGATCGCGCCCAGGAGCCCAGCCTAAAAAATGGCTACGCCATGCGTGGCGGCGCCGATGCCATGATCTCTAGCTGCACACTGCCCAACGGGGTGCAGGCGGCGCGGCGAAGCAAAGAGCGCTTCCAGCAACTGCAGGAAACAGTTTATACGCTGTCTGGCGGAGGTGGCTCGCCCGCACAAATGCCAGGTGTAGACTACCAACCATTGGTGGCGCATCCATCGAAAATAGACCATGTGCCGCGCATTGCTGATTTTCTGCGTCGCAAAGGTGGCATGCGTGCTGCACAGGCTGGTGGTGGTTCACCTGTTGGCAGTCCCACTCTGTCCTTGTCCTCCTCACCAGTGGGCATATATCATGATGTCGATGCCGTGGATGGAACACTGCCGCCCTCTCGCATGGGCTCGTTATCACGGCGCACTGAAAAGCCAAATTTATCGGCTGTGGAACAATACTATCAGGATTTGCGCATAAATAATTCGTTGCGGGAGATATTTCTGAATCGTTTCGCTCACATGTTCCATGCCTACGAATACTTTGTCATTTATCCCAATCAGGCCAAGGACGAGTGGCTCTCGAATCGCGAAACATTGCAGAACTTTGACAAGTCGTCGTTTCTCTCCGATCAGCCAGAACATCATCGCGCCTTTCTCTCGCGCTTCCTTGAATCTCAAATGTTTGCCACACTCATTGACAACAAAATATTGGCCATGTGGGAGCCACAGCCTGATGAGCAGCTGCAGCTATTCGATCAGCGCATTAAGCTGCTAAGGTAAGCATCGTCTTGCATTGCTGTGAGTTGAGTTAAAAACTTTGATTTGTTGCTTCACAGACGTCGACATGGCGAGAACATGATCTGCGCCACCAGCTATGAGCCGTGCGTGCTCAGCCAGGACTCCCAGCAGCGCTTCGAGAAGCGTCTCAATTGCATAGACATTGAGGTGACGCCGCCAAGTGAGATTTTATCGAATCTGAGTTACATATTCTTCACCGCTTAAAGTATTTACACTATTTTTTAACTATATGTCAGCTTGCAGTGATTATTTCATATTCTAGATTTATACCAGACATAACATTTACTATCTAATCGTTGCTTCGGTCATATATAAATTATTAACAGACTTTTTATATAAATTAATTCAATATATATTGTTTATATTATCAGTTAAGATAAGATTCGATTTGTGCACAGCTGTAAATGTAATTATAAATTTACTTTTGCAGTTGTCTTCCACGACAGCCAGGCGCTGGCATTAGCCTGGAGTCGTATGTGTATAACATACTCTATGAAGTGATGCTGCCTCAGCCGGGCAAATCGATACGTGTCTATTTGCCACCTATGGAGCCACATCTGCCAGCTATTGCATTGATCCTGCAGCGTCCTGCACTGGCCACTGAGCTGCCGCTGCTGGACTTTCCGCTGCGTTTGCTCTTTAGTTATCTGGGTGTGGAATGCGTCATTCAGCTGTTGACCTGTGTGCTGCTAGAGAGCCAGGTGCTGCTGCGTTCCACAGGTGAGAAGCTCAACAACGACTCGTTTAATCTCTTTCATAAATAA